ATTTATATATAAATATATATATATATCTATCATCTATCTATCTATCTATCTATCTATCTATCTATCTATCTATCTATCTATCTATCTATCTATCTACCTATCTATCTATCTATCTAATCTATATATATTGTGTATGAATGTATTTATATATATTTATATGTGTGTGGAAGTAATGAAGACAATGCATGAAAAGAATGTATTCTTTGTTGGATGTGATTCAGTGAAAAGGGATAAAAATGATCATGGATTCCTTAACTCTTTAGCTGGAGCAGAAACCTTATGAAGTTCATGAAGTTGTAGCTCACTTTGTCCTTCCAGCAGAGTAAGGAAAAGGGTAAGCCAAGGGATATTAATGAATTATCTTTTCATGTAGGGGCAGTTGGGGATGTTCTCATTTATCTCCCAAACAGTATAATATCACTTCACATCTCACCTGAAATCATAAGACATGCGCTTTGTTTTCTCCCATCCTCCTTCGCCAAAGTAGGGATCATGAAGTCTTGGATATACCCGTTTATTGTAGGGTTTGTAGAGAGTCTTTCTTATGTCTGTTCTTTATTTATTATTTTTTTAGTTAAACTTAAATCATGAAAAATATTTGGTCAGCTGAAACTCTAAATGCTGTTTACCATTCTAGAAATAGTATCATGAGTAAAAGGAATTTTTATGAAAAAGGTATATATGTGATTTAGCCTGTAAATCTAAAATAAAGAGCCCCCTGTCTTGAATATCAATCATTTAAGGAGTCATATTAGCCATTAAACAAGGATTTGCACCCGACTAGCTCTTCCCAATTGACTATCATCAGCTAAGGTCAAAGTTAGACTAGAAAGAGACTGCACACCGTAATAATCCTCTATTCCTTCTACGACTTAGTATGCATGCTTCTCTATGAAAATGTTCTTGCATCCTTTTTAAATTTAGAATACTCACTTTATGTACAATAAAATAAAATGCAATATCAAGAAAGGGACAATAAAAGAAACATATAAACTATAAACATTTAATAAATCATGAAAAAATAATATCAATAATACAGTTGTGACATACTAAAAAACGGATTTTGTATTTTCTTGTTACACAACTCTTATATTACAACATAGTAAATCATATTTCCATGTATATATAAAACAATCTAAAATGCACCCAAAAGTTTATAATGATCTTCACACAAAGCCCCTATTATACTTTTGGATGCCAACAACTGTGAATATGTGTATCTCCACAAGTAATGCTTATAAATTCGAAATCCAGAAGTACCAACTATAATATACCTTCAAAGATACTTTATAGATAAAATACAACAAGAAATGATAAGTACAATGCAAGATTTATTCTAAATAATGTAGATTTTTACTCTTTATAAAACAATAGAAAGCAATAAAGGAAAAATAACTGCTTTATTACGAGTATGGCAGAATGTTCAGCAGACTATCAAACTCTTACAATCAACATAGTTGCAGATCAGTTTCCTTTATCACCTCTTTTCAAGTTCATGCAAAATATATCAAATGAACTAGGCAGACTGGTTAAACTGTTGTACTTTAAGGTATAAATAAATAAGCAACACAAACTGACTCATTTACTATACCTGTCACTGATGACTAAAATCATAAGCATGTAACTTTTCAGTTATGTGTGACAAGATAGTAATTTTTTTCTTCACAAATTGCTACTCATTTAAGAAAAAGAAAAGTAATAAAAATAATAAATAAATATGCATTCCAGGAGTTCAAGAATAATTCAGGTACTGATAATATAGCAAATAATTGCCATACATATTTATCAATGCATGTTCAGTATTCATATTGCATGGGTGACCAAAGACTAATAGTGACTGGCATCAAAAGGCATGTCTTTATATTAAAGCAAATTTCATTATCACACATCACATAGGCATGCTGCAATAACAATATATATACTTTCTATCATTTTGCAGTATAAAATTTGTTGTATGCATATAATAAAGTATTCCAGCTTGTGATTTCCTGAAGGGTAATATAAGTGCCACTGAATTTACACTCTAAGGTAGCAAATGCATGACATGACAGGACAAAAAGAAAAAAAAAAAAATTTAATAAACACTTATGGATTCAAACAGTTTCATGAAGGGAACAACTCATCAATTATAAGCATTGGTATAATAAACTTATCTGAGAGGAGTCTAATGAATTATACCTTTGATGTGAATTGTGAATTACAACCTATAACATTTGAACACTTGAGTCTTTTAGAAATATAATAATGTCAACAGATATCACACTTGGAAAATGCATGACTCCTACACCATAAATATTTCAGGACAAAGATAATGGCAACTAATTTTTACTTTTCTTAATTTTGTCTCAACATGTATACTAAAAAGTGCAACCAAATTTACAACAGCAGACAAAAGGAACATATGGAATTACAGTTCTAAATAAGTTAAGAGGTAAAAAGCAAATGCAGAACATGAGACAACTTTTGTTATTTTGATAGTAGTGAAAGATACCCACTCAAGTTTTTTCTTAACACTTTGATGTGATAAATAAAAACTATTTTAACATGGAAAAAATACAAACAGAAATGGGATAATTCATCAATAAATGTCACTTTCCCTTTGAAGCTTCAATTCACCATTTCACATCAAAGGTTTTGTTAATCCATTGGCACCAGATACACATACTGTCCATTGTAGTTTTGTTTTGTGAACTTTGTTTGCACATACACAGCTACACAAGTGTTCAGCTACCAGGGAATCAATCAGTATGGTCTCCATGACCTACCTCAACTGATTTCTTCATTCCTTGAATTTCTAAGATTTTTTTTAATGACACTGTTACCATCATTATTGACATTAAGATTACTAATAAGTTGTTAACATCACTATTAGCAATAATAATAATAAAAAGAAAACATATTCAAGGAAAAGGATAAATAGGTGAGACTCGTAGGACCAGTAAATGACTCCTTGGAGACTAGGCACACGTGAAGCCATCTGTGTAAACAAGATTAATAAACTAAAATCACAGTGGACATGGCACATATGTAAATGCCATCCTGGCATCACTGGATTAATATTGTACTGTTACTGAAATTGTCCACATGTGGGTAAAAGTAGGCATTTAAAAGCATTTAGGTATATGTACAATACCATTCACAAAACACATTTAATTAGGCAGTTTTATCCTTTTACTTTCCACATAAAAACAAACATTTTGGTCCTATTCTCAAGGCAACCATTAAAGAAAATTAACAAGACTATAACAGTTTTAACTTACAATGACTATTATTGCAGTTCAGTTTTATTTCATTTAATCATGTGTACTACAAAAAAGAAATTTCTTAAAAATGAGAATATTCATAATTAATTTAGCTACATCAACTTGCTACGTGTCTATTTGTTAAATCTTGGAACTAATATTGAAGGAATTGAAAATCACGCAACATTATATGACAACTGCAATAATGTTATGAACATAGACTGTTTTGCTGCTGTTATAATTTCCATGTTCTCAAATGAAGACATTGTGACATTATGCATAAAATCATACTCTGCAAATACAACACATATTGTTTTAAAAATTGATATAAACAATTCTAATATTGTACTAACTTTAATAAAAACTATATCTGGAAAAGAACACTGTAAAAGATTAAAGAACATAGGGCTTGAAATTCCACACAGAATAGACTATTCTTTCCCCTGGACATTTGCTGGGCAATATATTATTTTGGGGAAAAACATCATCTTCATACAATACAATTCATTCGATATCAAGGTAATGTGTGTATTTCTGTATTATACCTTACTTTGTAAATCCAAATGCTAGTGACATTAACTATGTTCATCAACACTCCAGTTCATTTCTTTTACGTAAAACTTTTTGTTCAACATTCTTTAATACAATGAAACCTAGTTGTGCTGTCAATTTTATATGTCACAATCATAACTTTTAACACTACATCTAAACACCCTACATTTGGCAAATGTGGCAAATAAACAATATTTGCTGTGTAATAGAATAATTTAATTTTGGTCTGTATTCTAGCCAACCTAAACCAATGGATATATAAAATGCAACCAGGTTAAATACAAAATAGAATCACCAGTTAAGTACATCCTGACAATGCACAACCAAATACCACAGAGCAGAGGTCACATGAAGATTCCATACTGACATTTGAGAATCACTAATTTCACTGAGAATGTGTTTAAGGTGAGAATCCACATAGTAATATTCACCATATGTAACTTTAATGCATTTATTACCATTGTCCTAACCTGTGCCTTCGGGTGACCCATTCTGTGCAAACACCAAACAGGGTGAATACTATTGAAGGGAAATCTCATATTAATGTGTTATTTTAATAAGACAAAAGACTATCATTGCATGGTGAAACCATGAGATATGTCATACTGCAGAGGATAAAATGCTAAAGAATGAAATAGAGGATGCAAAAATATGTATATTCTATACACGGAAAGGGTACAATGGCATGCAATTGCTTTGGCAGGATAGTTGTGGTTTAGGAGGCTTCGTATTGCAGGACTCAACAATAATCCAGCACAAAAATGAGAAACTGAAGAATGTAAGGCCATTTTGGACGGAAGGCTATACCTGTTTGAGTGGCTCTGGGTATATACACTCTTGACTGTCAAATTTATTACTGTGACTCTCAGTGCTAAAATGTGTTAAACAATATGGTGTCACCCTTCAATAGATCACAATAAAATGTCTTACATTTACAATATATTTATTTTTGTATATAAAATAGCCACAAACATATACACACACACACACACATAGATATACAGCATATATATATATATATATATATATATATATATATATATATATATATATATATATATATATATATATATATATATATATATATATATATACATATATATACATATATATATATATATATATATATATATATATATATATTATATATATATATATATATATATATATATATATATATATATATATATATATATATATTATAAAATGCATGTGTGTATATGTCTGTATGTGTGCTCATTATCCTGTTACCATGAATAAATCAAAAATATTTCACATCCAGTGAAAAAAGGCCTGATGATTTGGGACAATGGACTTCATATTTTCAACAAACAAGCAAAACTAAGCTAATACAACAATAACAATTATAATACACATATATCAGATACAGAACGGATCAACGTCTTATTCCTTGCTCTGCTGTCGTTCTCCTTCTAGGAACTTGAAGACATCGATGTCACTGGGGCCCAACTCTGCTCTAGCTCTGACTTCCTCTAAAGTGTAGCTCTTCAACAGAGTGCCATTCTCGAAGATGGGGACAAGGAGGTCCTGAAATCAAATGTACAACTAAAAACACGGCTTGTATAGAGGCTAAGGCGTGCAGAAGGCAGGGATAAAAAAGAGGGAAGGAGGGATTGAAGGAAGATAAAAGAAAGATAGATGGAAGTAAGGGAGTGACTGAGAGAGAAAGAGAGAAAGAATAAAGAGAGGACAAGAAAAATAAAGAAAGGAGTAAGCTGCATGAGAGAGAGACAAAGAGAGAGTGAGAGAGAGAGTGTGAGTGTGAGTGTGAGTGTGAGTGTGAGTGTGAGTGTGAGTGTGAGTGTGTGTGTGTGTGAGAGAGAGAGAGAGAGAGAGAGAGAGAGAGAGAGAGAGAGAGAGAGAGAGAGAGAGAGAGAGAGAGAGAGAGAGAGAGAGAGAGAGAGAGAGAGAGAGAGAGAGAGAGAGAGAGAGAGAGAGAGACAGACAGACAGAGAGAAACAGTGATATCATGACAGGCATGAAATAAAGAATTATCTTAGAACTAAAAGAATTTAATATATTTAGTGGTTTATGCATGCTATAATTACTTCAAATCTACTCACAGTAATGAGCCTAAATCAGTTTAACTTCAGGTTCATAGTTAAGAAATATATACATGCAAAGAATGTAACATTCATTCTGACCGCTGATAGAATAAAATATTCATCCACTGCTGCCGTGTACATGTACTGTCAACTGTAGTTTTCTTTTGTAAATTTTGCTTGCATACAGATGGCTTCACAAATACTCAGCCACCAGGGAACCAATTGTTAGGCCTATGTGATATAACCATATTTCCCTTTTCCTTGAGTTTTTGGGAAAAAATACTCTTTTCTACTCATTTGCTATAAATAACATTGTTTTAATTATTACTGACATTATGATTATTATAATGCTATCAACAATAATAACTGCAATAAAAAAAATAAAATGTTTCCATAAATCAAGGAAAAGGTAAACAGTTGAGATATGTAATAGTAGTTATGGACTGCTTCGTAATTAATACACTTGTGGAGCCATTTATGAGTAAAGATAATAAAATATGGCAATCATTTTTGTCATCCCAACTGAAATGGATTAATTATTACTTACTGGTAACATGCAGTAATATATATAATGTACCTAAAAATATCTTATCCCAAGATTATTAAGCATAAGTAAACATAATTCTAGAAAAACTGACATATATCAATTGATACAAGGACCTTGTTTTGAAATTGTGTCTTTAATTGATGCAGTATATTACAAGATCAGTCTCTCAACTTCTCTTGAATTATGAAAATGCAAATTTTCATATAATTATTACTGTTCAACTGCCTTATGTCTGACATTCAAAAATAAAAGAAGAAATAAACTTAAACTGTTGAACAAGTCAAAACTGAAATCAAATTTCCATTTCAACTTCTCTTCCCTCAGTGAGTATCTCCTTATGGGTAAAGTGTAAAATAAAATAGCTTACAGTGTTGCAAGGAACAATAAAATACATATAAATAAGTATCATAACTATTAAGCCAACACAACTACAGCTCTAGTAGGTGCAAGAATATACAATTTTTAAACCTTTTTCTTTTCTATGGTGAACATAAGGAGTCGTACACAAGAATAAAACACCAACTATTTACATGAAGGCGAAGTTACAAAAATAATATATAATAATCTCCTCCATAACTTCTAAAGATCGAAGAAAACCAGAAGAAAGTGCAAAGTACATAAAGCTTTAGCTGAAATTTTACATGTATAAAACAAAGAATTCTATAACTATGATGAAAAAAATATACTGGCTACAATCTATAGCAAGTATGCAATACTACTTCCAAAAATAGTAGTAGATTTTTCCCCTTATTTTCTGATTCATTACCGATTGGCCCACCTTGCCAAGACGTAGTGACTGAAGTGGTTGTTTGTGGGTCGGCGAAGCAGCGGGTGATGAGAAAGGAGTGTTTTGGGTGAGGGGGGGTGATAAAGGACAGGAGGGGACTGGGGAAAGGGAGGAAGAGCCCATAGCTGATGACTGTGCTTTGCGGTAACTACCGAGATTCAACTCAAGTGTAAGTGGATAAGTTGGAGAGCTTGTGTTCTGGTACTGTGCATTTCTGAAATTCTTTCTAGTCTTGGAACAAGCAAACTTTGGTTGATTCTGTGATGATGAAAGGCTGCACTTGTTGCTACTTTTAATATCTCTGTAATTTTCCATTCCTTTCTTTTTTCTATTTTTGCTAGTATTAGATGACATGGTTATAGAACTAGGAGAAACTGCACAAGCCCCATTTACAGTCCTTTTTTTAAGATAAGTTCTTTGTGGGGATAATGTACAGCCAAGCTTTAATGGTGGCACACCAAAGGGCCGTTCAGTCTTGAGGGTCTCACTTATATATGGACAATGATAAGTCACTCTGGCAGCGAGTTCTGGCACCACCCCACACACACACAGGTCCTGTCCCATCGACATGAAAGATAATGCAGGTTATGAACTACAGCTATTAGGCATTTCTTTCTTATATCTTAAAAAATTGTAACTACCATACTATATACAAAGAAAATTAATATAATTCAGGTGAAAATTCCATTCATTCTTCAGTCCATGAAATTTACACAATACAGGTATGACCTGCCTACAAGAACACTTTCTTTTCCAAAACCTAATAACATATACAGACAAACAGAAATCACCATTATTAGAAAAAGAAGACAGCCCACCATAATAAGGCCACTAATTTCTACAACTTCCCAAAACATTATTACTCTTAATCCCTCGCTGATAGGGCTGGCAATGTTACATTTTGACTTTTCAAGGCCAAATTTAAGAGTCTGAGCAAGAGGCATTATATGTTTTCAAGCACTATATGGCATCTTACCACTCAAACCAATAATGAAAGTCTGGTTGTTAGTTGACTTCTGAAAATGGATATGACAAACTATGCCTAACTACCTCTTGTACTTGGTCAGAGCCCCTAAATATCCCCAACTACTTCAACTCCAACCACACAAATGCACAAATGTGTCACTATATACCAACTGTTTCCACACAATTTTTGAGTGTTTTTAATTTCTCAAATGAAAATATTAATTATCTGAGCAGAGAAATAAAGTTGAAAAACAAGAAAAAGAAAGAAAACAATGAAGAAAATGATGAGAAACGGGATTATGATGAGAAAAAGATTTTTTTCCCCCCCACCCTCTCTCTCCTTTTTGAATCTATATCCCTCGATATTTCCAAAAGTAATTTCTAATAAGCAACATAAAAACTCCTCACCTGTTTCGGATCCCCCTTTCCACCCTCTATGGTCTTGTACTCTCCGTTAACGCAATGCAAAGCCAGGCGGCCTTTCTTACTGGTTTTGCCAATATCAGTGACAGGTGCTTTGAAAACCTCTACACCTTCTCCATTGATTATTGCATAGCTGCACTTGTAGGCACATTTGGATTGAAATTTCATGTCACCCATCATGTGAATCAAACATAAACAGACTCGTTGCGAGTTTTTCCAGTCATGTTCATGCCACCTGCTCCTCAAGCCAAATTTCTTCATGAACTGATGGTCAAGTGGGGAAGAAAAAGTCTTATACAAATTAGAAAGATACTTACCTTTTGCAGCAAAGATCCTCCACTGCCAAAAGCGACATTTGCTGCAGACCAGCCATGATTCTTTAAATTTTCTAGAATGCTTCCTGCAGATTAAGATAAACTTTTTGTTAATACCAATACACAGTTTACATTAAAAAATATATAGTTCCAATTCAGCATGTATGAATATATATCATACAAAAAAAAAAAAAAAATCAATCAATCATTTAACATCAACTAATAATGATATTTATGAAGATATCCTGGTGCAATATTTCTTTGCAGGTTTTGAGCACTGTTTCCATAAATATATTTCCAATTACATAGAAAAACTGTGAGCATCATTTTCATACTTATGAATACCTCACCAGTCACATACCTACAGTCGTGTAGGATATACCATCTCCCTGGATCACCCTAATATAAGGAGGAAGAACTTTGAAACCTTTGGAGTTAGTCTCAGTTCCAAACGCTTTTCCTAAAATTTCTAAACACTGAAAGAAAGGAATGTTAATTATGAAGGTCAATTTCTATTCTTTTCTCATATATATATATATATATATATATATATTATATATATATATATATATATATATATATATATATATATAATATACTCAATTTTCATGACCAGTAAATAGCTACTCGACACAAAAGGCAAAAATGTACAAGCCACCACAGTGATCATTACCAACAGAAGAAAGTGGAAACCCAGAATTACACTATATACCCAAATCTTTTTCAAGTAACTAAACTCTAAACTCTGGTGATTAAAGAATAAATAAAGTCATCATGATTCTACCACGTGAAATGGGATAAAACCTGGCCACTAGTAGAATAAGTATACATACTTTCAGAACCACAGTTGGAGGATCTCCACTATCTGGGCGTATGACTAGTGCTCCCCCGGTCTTGCTTCTCTCCACAACAAGGTCATGTAACTCTTCTCCCCAGATTTTTTCGCAACACTTCCAGATATCATAAGAGTCACTTACACATGCAACAGGTCCTGTAAAGTATACTCATTCTTAAATCAAAGTTACTTAATTTGATCATATATGATGTACAATAGTGTTCATTATTCATTCATAAATTCCTCATTTGCAGACTTGCTTGTCATTATTTCTTAAAGCCTAAACTTTAAATTCTATATTTCTGAAATAAATGTACACATGTATCATTTACTACTTTACTTGTTCTCATTTTCTTTCCATATTATCAGAACAGCTGACCTTGTAATTCACATACTTTCTAGATTAGTGACAACTGAGTTATATTAAAAGAAAAAAAAAAGAAAATCAATGACATAATCAGACATCTAAAAATTAAACAAAGGATGAATGACTTTTTTTCTTTTACTGCCTAATATTTCATAAAGATTTAGTTTCTGTTCCATTTGTTACAATGGATATTCTTTGCTGTGCCATACTGTCCGTTTTATTTTGCCTTCTAAATCTCCCCCTGTGTGCAAGGAATGGCCGGGGTTACCATTCACTGGTTGTGTGCAGAATCGAACGCAGGTCAGCAAGATTGCAAGACCAGCACGTTCACCACTACACTACACAGCACACATAATGAGGAAGTGAGATTTCATTATCATAACAGGGCCACCAAATGACTTCTAAAGCTTTTTCTTACCACTGGGAAAAGCCTCCAACATATTTCGGAAGGCATCTACCTCCCCCTCCTTTCCCCATGAGGTTACAGTTGAGTGTTCCATGGCAGGTATGGTGAATCCTGCCATGGGAGCATCATAATACTTGTGCAGAAGTGGCAAAGCTGCAACTGTATCTGTTCCCTAGAGTAAGAAAAAAAGTAAATAATAACAATAATAATAAAATCTCAATTTTAGCTCTGTTAAAGAACTAAAATCATTAATACAGTTCATCAATTTCTAAAGGTACTCATAAAATCTTTCTATTATCCCTGCATTACACACTACTAAAACTTGGCATAGACAACTGATACAAATAAATACTACTACAATAATAATAGTAATAAATACAGCCATCATCAAATTTGCATAACTTTTCTTTTTTTTTTCACAATTTTTTTTCTCTCTCTTTTTATGTTATCAGAGAAAGTTGCCTTACCTTGAAATTAACTAAGTGTGCAGCTCCCCCAATGGCAGCAGTCTCAATTGATGAAACTCCTCGGTATCCAAAGTCATGTAGCTTGAATTTTTTGAAGAAATAACAATTAAAAATGACAATGACTATGAACACAAGACATGTAAATCTATCAACAAATAAACATGACAGTTTATTTTCTTAATACTTGTGTTTAGTAACACTGCACTGGTAAAGCATTTAAAGCATCAAGCAGAAAATTTGATCAGTTTTAGGAATCTAAATGCCTTACAGAAAAGGGAAGGGAGTCCAAGTTATCATGTGTATCCTTTAGATACCGATGAATTATCTGCTTCTGAATGCGAGAATTTGTTGCTACTGTCATGGGGTACCATACTTGAACAAAGACAGTCTGCAAATAATATGGGTATCATTAGAAAATTATTTTCATATTTCAAATGCACAGTTCCTTTATACATATTTTTATGTTGAAATCTAAAACAAACAAGCTCACATACATACTTCAACAATCTTCTAAATGTCTTATCCAAAGAGATACTCATGTCTTATCCAAACAGATACTCATACAGATATGAAGCAAAAATCAAAGGTTCTATCTTACCAGCTGATAACACATTCAATTACTTCTCATCCTGAAAAAAATGCTCCTACCTCAAAAAAGTTGGTGACCCACGGGACCATGGGATCTGTGCTCTCCACGGTGAACAAAACATTTTTTGTGGGGATGACGGACCCCTCGGGCACTGCACACACTCGCAGAGGTAATTTCCCACCATGACGCTGGAAGGGATGTGAAGATTCTTAGTAACGCTTGTTGGACTGAAATTGCTAAAGGTCTGTATCAACATGGGATGACAGGATGCAGATGAAGTACTTTTAGTTCATCTTCTGACTTTAGTGTCATTAAATCCAGTCTCTTTCTCACTGCATTATAATGGTAGTGTGCTAGACAATGGCTTGGCTTGGACCTCATACTGTCTTGAGATGATCTACTAGATTAGAAGTTCTGCAGGTCAAGTTAGACACCCATTTACTATTTGTGAAGTTTGAGGTCTCCCATTAATTCAAAATCCATTATCTCATAAATCTGTGTGTATAGTTCGCTCTTTTGCTTATTTGAGTGAAAGAGAGAGAGGAGATGAGTAAGTAGAAGGAGAGAGAGGGAAGGAGAGAGGGAGAGAGGAAGAAGAGAGAGGAGGAGGAGGAGAGGGGGAGGAGGAGGAGGAGAGGAGGAAGAGGAGAAACACCAAGTGGGAAGCCAGCCACGTTCACTGATTGCCATGTGCCACCGCGCGTGAACTATGTCGGGGGCGACAGAGGTGGAGGGGGAGCGACTGAGAGAGAGGAGGGCGAGAGAAGAGTGATGCGCGAGCAAAAAGACGGACCGAGAGAGGAGGGATGACGGGGGAGAGCGAAGTTGGAGAGGACGAGGGGGAGGATGAAGGAGAAGCGGGGGTCGAGAGAGAGAGAAGAGATGAGAGGGATGGAAGGGGAGGAAAGAAGCGAGAGAGGAGTGGAGGGGAAGGAGAGGTGAGAAGAGAGAGAGAGGGAAGAAGACGAGGAGAGACGATGGGACGAGCCCAGAAGGAGAGGAGGACGGGGGAGTGGAAGAAGCCGAGGAGAGGAGAGGGTTGAGAGGAGGGCGCGCGGAGAAGAGAGGGGATGAGAGAGGAGAGGGAAGAGAGAGAGACGATGAGGAGAGATGTGGAGGGAAGAGGGAGGAGAGCCCCGGAGAAGGGAGAGAGGGGCAGGGAGGGAGAGAGGAGGAGAGAGCGAGAGAGAGAAGAGGGAGGAGCGGGAGGAGAGAGAGAGGAGAGAGAGAGAGGGAGAGAGGAAAGGGGGATGAGAGGAGAGGAGAAGGGGAGAGATAGAGGGAGAGAGACGAAGAGGAGAGAGAGAGGAGATGGACGATGAGGGGACGAGAGGGAGAGGAGTAGACGAGGACCGAGAGAGAAGAGCGAGAGGAGGAGGAGAGAGAGACGAGAGAGAGGGAGAGAGATAGAGAGGAAAGAGGCGAGAGAGGGGAGAGAGAGACGAAGAGGAGAAGAGAGAGAGAGGAGAGAGAGGAGGAGAGGATGAGATGAGAGACAGAGAGAGAGAGAGAGGAGAGAGGAGAGAGGAGAGAGAGATGAGGTGAGAGAAAGAGAGAGTAGGAGAGATGAGAGGTACGTGGATAGTAAGAGGAGAGAGAGAGGATAGAGACGGGGATGAGAGAGAGGACGAGGGGGAGAGAGATGAGAGATGAGAGAGGAGATGAGAGAGAGAGGAGAGAGGAGGGATCGAGATTGAGTTGTGCGAGGAGACGAGGTGAGATGGAGGATGAGGTGAGGTGGAGGATGAGAGAGATAGTGAGAGTGAGGCGAGCTGCTCGGGAGAGGGATGAGAGTGAGAAGTTGGGGATAGAGGAGGGAGAGTGAGAGTGTGCTGGCAGGGAGAGAGAGAGAGTAGAGGAGCATGGAGGGACGGGAGGGAGTAGAGAGTTGACGGGAGGAGACGATGAGTGGAGAAGTGGGATAGAGATAGGAGAGTGTATGGTGCTGACCGGAAGGACGTGAGCTGTTCGGGATGGGAGACGAGAGACGATGGGATAGAGAAGGGGACGTGGTGGAGAGCGAGAGGGAGGAGGAGAGGTGGGATACGAGAGAGAATGAGAGAAGAATGGGATGAGAGACGATGAAGAAGGAGACTGAGAGACGAGAGAAGACGAAGAGCACAGAGGAGAGAGAGAGAGTACAGAGAGGAGGAGAGAGAGTCGAAGACGAGAGAGAGAAGAGAGAGAAGGAGGTAGGGGGAGGAAGGAGAGGAGGGAGAGCGAGAGGGAGGGGTGAGGGAGAGAAATAGGGAAGGGAGGGGAGGGAGAAGAGGACAGATAGAGAGGGAGGGAGGGGACGGCAGCGTGGGGAGGGGGGGCATGAAGAGAGAGATGAGAAGAGAAGGAGGGACACGCGAGAGAGAGAGGAGGGAGGGAGAGAGAAGAGAGGAGAGGAGGGAAAGGAGAGGAGAGGAAAAGAGGGATAGGGAGGAGAGACGAGAGAGAGAGAAGCGAGAGGAAGACCCGGCATGGGAGTAGGAGGAGAGAGAAGGAGGGGAAAGAGAGAGAGAGATGAGAGCAGAGAGGGGAGTGAGAGTGAGAGGAGGGAGGGAGGGACGGGGAGAGAGAGGACAAGGGGAGAGAGAGGAGAGACGAGGAGAGGTGGGAGGGGAAGAGGGAAAGACGAAGTCGGTAGAGAGGAGAGGGAGAGGACGAGGGGATGGATGAGAGGGAGGAGATAGGAGAGATGTGAGAGTAGGTGAGAGGCAGAGACGATGGAATTTGAGAGACGCTGATATAAGGAGAGAATGACCGACCGTGAGACTGAGAGAGAGAGAGAGACGAGAGGGAGAGAGACGAATGAGGCGGGGAGGGTGAACGGAGAGGACTGGGGATCTATTGAAGATGAGGGTAGGAAGAGAGAGAGAAGGAGAGAGGAGAGGAAGAAGGAGAGCAGAGAGCGTGGAGGAGAGGAGAGAGAGAGAGAGGAGAGTATGAGCAGAGAGAGAAGAGACGAGGACGTAGAGGTGAAGGGAGAGAGAGAGAGACGACGGAGGGAGGGGGAGGGAGGGGAGGGAAGGGAGGAGGAGAAGGCGAGAGAGGAGATAGGGAAGGGGGAGAGAGAGGGAAGGGTAAGGGGGAGAGGGTGGGGAGGAGGGAAGAGGAAGAGGGAGAGGGAGAGGGAGAGGAGAGGGAGAGGAGAGGGGAGGAGAGAGATAGAGAGAGAAACAACAATCAACTACAAATGTCGATACCTCAGCAATGAAAACAGCATATCACACTCTTACAAATTTCCCTATAATCAATAACCATCAAAAACACACCATCCTATCTACCAACAACGCAAACTGACGCCTTCCTCTATGCTACCTGTTATGTCCTAGGTTAGGGTGCAATCTCTTGGGTAAACAAAGATTGTCGGTAATTTGTATGTACACCACTAACCACAAATTCATATCCTGATCAATTTTCCCTACGCAGGTCATGGTTGGGTCGCAGAGTGGGCCACATGACTGACATGCAGGATCCATGAATCGATATCAAGTTTCCCTAACCTCTCACTAATCAACATTAAAGATGATAATACTTAAAACACAACTAATAATGACTAACAAGACCAATGCTTTTGATGAATTTGATTATAATCAAGATAATAGTAAAACTATTAACAACTACTATCACTATCAATATCAAAGTGGGAGCAAGAACAGAAATGTAAAAGTAGTAATGCTAATAGTAAAGATAAGATTCATGACAAAGACAGTCATGATAGAATACTAGAATTATGTAATAGTAAAAGATAATGAAATTGGCAATCTCTGGAACATCAAAAACACCAATTACTTTACTGATTTCTTCCACTTCCTGGATATTTGTTGCAATCAACAAACCTAAAAGAGAAGAAGTAGAGAGAAGAGAAGATGAAGACGATGATAAAGAAACAGAAAAAAAAGAAGAAACAGCAATGTGATCAGTCCTTACCAACATTTTACCTTCCTCCACCTTAAAAGATCAGCACATTACACCCTTTCATCCCTTTAGCCAACAGCAAACTGAGCGTGTGACATTTATGGCCAGGGATTTACCATCGACTATTGATCCGTTTGCCTTCAAATTATCACCTTAGGTGGTCCTATCCTGAGCAAACGAATAGGACAGATGAGAAAGAAGACTTGAAAATGAGAGGAGGAGGAGGAGGAGAAGGAGGAGGAGGAGAGGGAAGAGGAGGAGGAAGAAGAGGAGGAAAGGGAAGATGAAGAGGAAAGGGAAGATGAGGAGGAGGTAAGAGTAAAAAGGAGGCAAAAAAAAAAATAATGAAAAAGAAAACAAGCAAATATGTATGCATGCTTGTGAATGGGTGCATGTGCAAGAATAAATAATAGCCAAAAAGTGTTTAGCCTTTACCAATCACATCTTTCCCTTTTGCTTGATTAACTCGGAACAAACAGTTTATACGAAAACACACACACGCAAAACACCACACACACAAAGAATGAAACACATCAAATAATCTGTTAAATCTGAAAAATTACTCAACATAATTAGTTGCTTCTCCTCCATCATCTCTTTTTACGGGCTTTCTGTTTTTCATCCTATGAATAAATGTATGCAGAAGGGAGTAAGTGAGTGAGTAAGTAAGTTTGCGGTAGGCAGGGATTGGGAGGAATAGGAGAAGGGAGAGAGGGCGAGGGACGGAGGAGAGGAAAGAGAGAAAGGAGAGGGGGGGAAGGGGGAAGATGAAGGGAGAGAGAGGTTGGAGGGAGGGAGGAAGGGAGCAAGGGATGGAGAGAGAGGTAGAGGGAGCAAGGGAGGGTGAGAGGAGGTTAGAAGGAAAGCAAGGAGTGGAGTAGAGAGAGAGGAGGGAGCAAGGGAGAGAGAGAGAGAGGTGGAGGAGGCCCAAGGGAGCAAGGGGGGAGGACGGGAACCAGGATGATGAGAGAAGAGAAAGGTGGAGGAAAGAAAGAAAAGAGAAAGAGAGAAGGAGAAGAGAAGAGAGAGAGAGAGGGGGGAAAGCTGGCCCGGGGAGGGAGGGAGGAGGGAGGGAGAGGGAGAGAGAGGAGAGAGAGGGAGAGAGAGGAACGGAGGGATTGAGAGAGAGAGGAGAGAAGGTGAGAGAGAAAGAGATGATGAGAAGTGAGAAGAGGAGAGAAGCGGGAGACGGAGAGTAGGAGACGGAGAGGAGAGAGTAAGGAAGAGAGAGAGAGAGAGAGAGAGGAGGAGAGGGGCAAAAGAGAGAGAGAGAGAGAGA